TTGACTGTCGGCCACAGACCGACCGGTATCGCAGTTTCCGTGACCAACCGACATCCAGGCCAAGAATCGGATGAAAACATCAGGTCGTGTCCTCGATCGATATCGAGTTTCCTCGTGTCACGTCTCNAGTGCTCCACCACCGATCACGTGCAACGGTCGAAAATTGCAACTGATGCTCGGGTGACTTTGCCCCGTACCGAGTCTCGATCACACTTCCATGTCGCGACCCCATCATCGAACATTGGACACGTCCATCGGTTGTTCCACCCGACCGATGTTCGGGCAGTTATACCGCAATCATACCGTAATCCTGCCGCAGTTTTACCGCAATCAAGCACCTCGCAACCCATACCGCATCACGCCCACATCTTGTGTATTCCCCCGTGTCGCNACACGAGCTGCATCGTCCTGCATCCTACCCAGCCACGTACTGCGTCTCGACCACGGTAAGTCTCGGTCACAGTATCGGCCCACCAACCCGATCGGTGGTTTGACTGTTCTGACTCGNGTAAGTTTTCAGTTCAATTTTGATTTTCTAAAATGGTTCTAAACCGTTTTTAACCAAGCACATCACAAAAAAATCTAATTTTAAAGGCTTTTATTAATTTATTTTGTCTCTTATTGGCACCATATCATCTCTTTCTCTCTCAAAAGTGTTCTTGAGTTCAAGAACCCTAAAAAATCCAATTTTGGAGTTTTCACTCAACTCACTAAGATTTGTTTAGATTTTGATTAGAGTTTTCATTCGTAATCTCATATTTCACTAAATCCAAGGTAATTTCTATCTAAACCCTCTTTTGTCTAATTCCAAGTTTATGCATATTTTTATATTTCTCGTCAAATTAGCTTAANTTTCCTAAGTTGTTGGAGAATTGACATAGAAATACTTGATTAGACATTATATGAGCAATATTAATGGGTTAATTACATGTTTAACACCCTTAATTACTTTGCACAAATCTCAATTTGTGAGGACATCATTATACACGAATTTGGGTGATTCATGATTATTTAATGCATTCATTAGTATGGGTTTATCATATATACATAGGATTGAAATGATTTTTGACACATTAGAGCTTTAATTAAAAGAATTTCATGTTTTTCACATGTCATTAACATTAAAATCCGAAAATTATCATTTAATTCGAGAAAAATTGCTTCCCCTTTGGTATTAATTCTTACATATTTCTAATGTCTTGATATAATTTATTTTGAGTCAATTTCACATAGGAAGCAATTCTTTTGGAACTTGTGATTTTCAAGACCGTAACATGCTTTTTCGAGATTTTTTCTTTTNTAGGAACTTCAGTGGAGGATGAGATTGTTCCAAGGAAGTCTAAGAGAGGACATAAACCAAAGAAGCACCACGTGACCACTCACGGTCAAGAAGATCGAGTCTCTCGCCCTACACGCTCTACGAACCCATCGAAAAAGTCATCAAAGAAACATGGAAAGGATATTTTGNAGGAGAATGATGAAGAACTTGGTTACCAACTAAGAGATGAAGAAGATGATGCTATTCAAGAACCAATGAGATTTGTGGAGGTTACACAAACCATCCCTCACAAATCGCCAAGTAAGAAGAAAAAGAGGAAATCACGAGCCAAATCGACACTACTTGTATCCGAAGCACCCGTTGTTGTCATGAAGCACATTTGCCCCGAGATGCAAGCCAACGTCGACTACATGGCTGGTCTAATCATAAATCTGAGATCAATTACAATTCCAATTTAATTCATATATCTAACTACAACCTACATAATAATTAATAGTGCCTTCATACAAATTATTGAGTATATATAATCCCAATAATTCACATATAAAAAACGACATTAACTTGCACAACATTGCAAGTATTCCCATTGACTTTCATGCAATCACCTGCCCTTCCTCGTATTCCTGCACACACATGAATCAGTACACGAATTTGAATTCACACCAACATGAGCTTCTTCAATTGGCTTGCTTACAACAGCTACCACATGGCATGAGTCAGTGTTTGCACTCACCATTGGACGGCTCCCATCGTAGTCTCCTTAGCTGCAATAGTCTCCTAAAAATGTACAACTAATCAATAACATATCAAATAAGAGCTAAACTAAGGCTTATCAACCATAAAAAAATATTACCTCCATCTCAATAGTTAAACCAGAACCAGACTGGTTGAGTTCTCCAATGACTCGATATTATTTTATCATTCAAATCACCCACTTCATTTGGTAAAGGAGGCATCTTTGCCTTGTTTCCAGACCCACTACCATCAGCCTCCCTCTCTCCCTCGAGGTCTTCACCATTGCTTTCATTATCAACATTTCCCATGATAGGCACAGCCTTTGGTAGCTGGTTTTTCATGACATCAATCAACGCTTCTTGCATTTTCGCCATCTTCTCCTCAAAAACATCATTTAACCCCATTTCTAGAATTGAAACCTTGACATTCAGCTACTCTATTTTTTCAATACTGCAATTAACCTTCTCCCCCAACAAACCCATCTCATCTTTAACTTTCCTAGTTATAAGATAAACAATCTCGGTCATATCAGCTTCACCACTTAAAACACCTTCGCCACAAGAACCACTAACCGAGCCATCTTCTGCAGTCCCACCCTGTTTGCGTTGTTTCTGTTTTGCATTCTTGGCATTCTCGGCCTCCGCCTCTTTGCGCATTCGGATAACATCCCCTCTAGTCACGCCACCACCACCAAACATCTGACGGTTAAAAGCATGGTCCTCATTAATCAGTTTTAATATATTGTTAACTAGTTCATCACCCTCATCATCAGTCCAGGAAAATGTGATGTCTTCTACTTCATTCTCTCCATCATCTGGAATAATACAATCAGCTGCTGCCTGTCGGAAAAAAAAACATGATACAGTCGACCACATGTTTGTACAAATAGAATCAACACGCATGTTGTATATCTAAATTAATTGTTGACCAGCAATTACCATGATTATATATCCAACATAAAAGTTATCTCTACATTCGATAAATGTTTGTACAATGATGTTTTTGGATCCACATCACATCTCTTAACTATACAAAAGTAACAAACACATACCTCAGCTGCAACATGCACACCTCGGGCATGCCGAGGACAAATTTTAGTTGTCGGAGGGCCCATCTCTCCATCTTTATCGTCCTCTTCTTCCATGTCTGAGTCGGAGGATGAAGAACAATTTACCTGAACTACCTCTGTAATTGTAGGAACAGCTTCAGCTAACACCAATTGCAATGCATGCACAAATCCCATAATTGCGTCTGTTTTCTATGACAAACTAACTTCCTTCCTCTCTTTAATGCTCGTCATAGCATATCAAAACCCAACCACCGCCCCCAAGGATACTTGAAAAACTCGTCCAAATCTTTGATTAGCTCCACATGTTCTTTATCGGGTGATGAGTCGTCAGCATGAGAACAAGTGCAAGCAAAGCGAGACATGCATATTTAATCTGCGTCTCTCTGTCGGTTACAACCTTCTTCACCAACATCCTAATGACAGATGCTACGGTTACAGACTGTAACTTCCCAAAAAGAGATGGCCAGTACGATGTCTCAGTGATGTTGTTTTTCAGC